GCACTGTGCACCTATTCCCCATGTAGGACCTCTGTCCTTAATGAGTTATACTATGAGAATTAACTGCAAAACTTATCTTCAAACAGTACTTTATGCTGTGTGTGTGTGTACAAATTATTGAAATCTTTAGTATAGAGTTGGTCTTCTGTATATAAAGTTAATTAAAAATGAATCTTAATGAAGAATGGGACAGGAGAAGGGAGTAGGAGATGGTAGAGGAGTTGGGGTAGGAAGGTGGGTATAGGGGGAAGAACCACTATATTCCCAAAGCTGTACCTGTGAAATTTGTATTCATTAAATAAAAGCTTTCTAAAAAGAAAGAAAGAAAGGAAGAAAGGAAGAAAGGAAGGAAGGAAGGAAGGAAGGAAGAAAGAAAGAAAGGAAGAAAGGAAGAAAGGAAGAAAGGAAGAAAGAAAGAAGGAAAGAAATGGTGGTCAGATTCAGATTATGAATGTATTTAAAGGAAAAGCCAGTAAGATTTCCTAGTGAGTTGAATGTACACTGTGAGAAAAAGAAGTCTTGGGTGATTCCAAGAATTGTGGCCTCAGCAGTTAAAAGAATAGAGATTCTGTCAACTGAAATCAGATAAGTAATGGGGAGGGTAGTTTTGGGGGGGGGAGAAAAATTTTGGACATGTTAGGTCTGAGATGTCCATATATCTACGTAAAGATATTGAATAAGCAGATGTGCGAGTCTGAAATTTAAGAGAAATTTAGGCTAGAAATATTACTGTGAAAGTTGTCCTTGTCTACATCAGTAGAATTTTCCACAATGATGGAAATGTTTTATATCAACACTGTCTACTGTTGTAGCCATTCGCCACATATGGCTGTTGAGTACTTAAAATGCAGCTAGTGTGACTGAGGTACTAATTTTAGATTTTTAATTAATTTAAGTGGTTGCAAGTGGCCACTAGCTATTGTATTTGATAGCACAAATGATAGTTTTAAAACCATGAGGGGGGCCAGCGCTGTGGCATAGCAGGTAAAGCCACCACCTACAGTCCTAGCATCCCATATGGGTGCCGGTTTGAGTCCTGGATGCTCCACTTCCCATCCAGCGCTCTGCTATGGCCTGGGAAAGCAGTGGAAGATGGCCCAAGTCCTTGGGCCCCTGCACCTGTGTGGAAGAGCCAGGAGCTCCTGGCTCCTGGGTTCAGATCAGCCCAGCTCCGGCCATTGTGGCCATGTGAGAAGAGAACCATCAGATGGAAGGCCTCTCTCTATCTCCCTGCCTCTGCCTCTCTGTAACTCTGCCTTTCAAATAAATAAATAAATCTTAAAAATAAAAAGGCTATGAGGCATGAGGCTAGGGGCCAGCACTGTGGCATAGCAGGTAAAACTGCCACCTGCTGTACTAGCATCACATGGGTGCCAGTCCCAGTCCCAGCTGCTCTACTTCCAATCCAGCTCCCTGCTAATGTGCCTGAGAAAGCAGTGAAGGATGGCCCAAGTCCTGGGGCCCCTGCACCCACGAGGGAGACTGGGAAGAACCTCCTGGCTCCTAGCTTCAGATCTGCCCAGCTGTGGCTGTTGCAACCATTTGGAGAGTGAACCAGGAGAAGGAGGGACCAATAGAGAGAAAACCTGGAGGCCTAATGAATCGGCTTATCAAGAAAGAGAATGAGTCTTTTTGGCTAGTATTCCTGACAGGTCAAGTAAGTTAAAGACAGAAACCCGCAGATTACCAGAGTGAAGGCCACGGGGTGATCTAACAAGAGTGGCTTCTGTATAGTGGTGGGGAAGGTGGCCTGGTTAGTGTAGGTACAGAAAGGTTTTTTTTTTTAAAAAAAAAAAAAACTTATTTATTTGAAAGGAAGAGTTACAGAGAAGGAGGGAGGGAGAGAGAAAGAGAAAGAGATCTTCTATCTGCTGGTTCTCTCCCCAAATGGCTGCAGTGGCCAGGCAAGAGCCAGGCCAAAACCAGGAGATTGGAACTCCATCTGGGTCTCCCACGTAGGTAGCAGAGGCCCAGGTACTCACATCATTTTCTACTGCTTTCCCAGCACATTGGCAGGGAGCTGGATCAGAAGTAGAATAGCTGGATCTCTGACCAGTGCTCATAAGGGATGCTGGCAGTGTTGTGACACAGTGGGTTATTTTACTTACGAATAGCAACATGTTTTAGAATTAAACTGAATTGTTTGTCTTTTCTGATTTATGTAGGACTAAATTCCTCAGTGCCTAGCAGCTAAGAAACATGGCAAATATGGCTGGTGATTCCAGTCATCTCATCTCAGAGGTAGACCCTGAACTGCATCCTGGACCTATGAATATCCAATTTGATTCTTCAGATCTGAGGTCCAAAAGGTAAGTGTTTAAAATAAAGCACTTATTTTGTAATTATGGTTTTTAATGACTGAAACAGAACTAACTGTAACCAAGCATGTGTAGACTGGCTTATAAAGTATCCAGTTTCCTACAGGATTTGCATTTGTGTATGTGGGGGTGGGGGTGGGGAGCTGCTGAGGAGAAAGAGGAATTCTATTTCCTAATTTTTACTTTTTTTTTTTTTTTAAGTAAACTCGGCATCTCTAGTGGTGGTAGGAGTGAAGTAAGTTTTACCAAGTTGGCCGGCGCCGCAGCTCACTAGGCTAATCCTCCGCCTTGCGGCGCCAGCACACCGGGTTCTAGTCCCGGTTGGGGCGCTGGATTCTGTCCAGGTTGCCCCTCTTCCAGGCCAGCTCTCTGCTGTGGCCAGGGAGTGCAGTGGAGGATGGCCCAAGTGCTTGGGCCCTGCACCCCAGGGGAGACCAGGAGAAGCACCTGGCTCCTGGCTTCAGATCAGCGCGGTGCGCCGGCCGTAGCGCGCAGGCCGCGGCGGCCATTGGAGGGTGAACCAATGGCAAAAAGGAAGACCTTTCTCTCTGTCTCTCTCTCTCTCACTGTCCACTCTGCCTGTCAAAAAGAAAAAAAAAAAGTGTTACCAAGTAAGATGCACTCATGCAATTTGTTTGGCAACTATGTATTAATTACCTGCTCTGTTCAGGATAATGGGCTAGGTGCTGGAGATAGAACAATAAAAATAGTAGGAATACTCTGTACTTCATTAAGCAGAATAGTTTAAGGTAATTTAAGTTTAAATTTTATTTCACTCTATAGCTGGAAATCCAAAAGAATCCCTTGAGAAATTACAAATAGTAAGAGAATTCAATAAAGTGGCTACTTACAAAATAGGTCAAGATAGTTTTCCAGTGAGGAAATATATTTGAAGAAAAAATACCTAGAAATAGTCTAGAGTGTGCAAAATCTAGTTGAGAGAAACTTTAAAATGCTTGAGGAACAAAAGTAAGTTCTATAGCATTTTTCATCAAATCTGAGTTGCTAATGATTATAAATTACATTTTTTAGAAATGTGTCAGAAAAACTGCTAGTACCTCTGCTGCAATAATCTCTTAAGACTTAGAATTTTTGTATTGCATTTATTGAAAGAATTCTTGAACTTACTTGATTTTTACCACTAATCTTTTGTGCAATCATAAAATGGAAATATAAACAAATGAATTATGATATAACTAATGTCACCTACAGAATCTGGTTCTTCTCATTTGCTTTTGCACTTTGAGCCATCAAAATAGGTGCTCTCCCCCACCCCCACCCCGAATTGTCCTTTGTGCCAGTAAGAGCACTGATGGTATAGCATTTCAGCATTTTCTTCCAGGTCCAGTTCTGATGCCTGCACTTTGCTGGTCTTACCAGAAGGTGTCACAAAAGGTTTTCTAACAGCATGATTCGTATTTCTTCCTCAAATGGTCCTTAAAGGGGTTGACTGAGATGAATAGGTCTTTCGGTTACCTGTCCTGCCTCCAGGAACAACTAGCATCGTACTGGGCCTTGGCTGACGGTGATGAGGGTGTTAGGGATTGTGAGATGCAGCCTTACTCAGAGATGTTAGAATATGTACAATAGAATCAGTAAAGTATGATGTGATGAAAAAGCATGTTCTGCTCTCTGTGGGAGTAGTCTAAAATAAAGATCTTGTGGTCTTTAAATTTTAATCCATAAATTTAATGTGATTCCCCCAGAAAAGACCTGTAGGCATTTCCAAAGTTTGTATGAATCAGCAATTTCACAATTAAGTGTTAATCACAGTGCCAAATGATACATTTTTGAGGTTGTTTAATGCAGGTTTTTTTTTTGTTTTGTTTTGTTTTTTTGTTTTTTTTTGGACAGGCCGAGTTAGACAGTGAGAGAGAGAGAGAGACAGAGAGAAAGGTCTTCCTTTTTCCGTTGGTTCACCCCCCAAGTGGCCGCTATGGCTAATGCATTGCAGTCAGTGCACTGTGACAATCCAAAGCCAGGAGCCAGGTGCTTCCTCCTGGTCTCCCACACGGGTGCAGGGCCCAAATACTTGGGCCATCCTCCACTGCACTCCCGGGCCACAGCAGAGAGCTGGACTGGAAGAGGGGCACCGGGACAAAATCCAGCGCCCCGACCTGGACTAGAACCCGGTGTGCCGGCGCCGCAAGGTGGAGGATTAGCCTAGTGAGCAGCAGCACCAGCTCGCAGTATTTTTTATAATAGCAAAGATTGAAAGCAACCAAAATGTCTTTTCTTACAGGATTGGGTAAATAAATTATGGCACATTCAACCAATAGAATATTTTTCATCTATTAAAAAGGAGATAGCTTTATTACATATCAAAATTGGAACAAATTTTCAGTTTACTTAATTGAAAAAAGTGAAGTGCAGAGCAATATGTGTAGTGTGCCACTATTTGGGTAACAGTAAGTCAATATATTACATATAATTCCATATATATTAATGAAGTCTGTGGAAATCAATAGAAAACTAAGAGTGGTTGTCTCTTAAAGAGGAACTGAGTACTTAGGTAGAACAGTGTGGCAGAATCTGTTTAGTAAACATTCAACAATTATTCAACAATCCCCTCCTATTTCTTTTTTTTTTTTTTTTTTTTTAAGAATTATTTCTTTATTTGAAAGGCAGAGATACAGGGTGGGTGGGGGGAGGGTGAGGAGCGAGATCTTTCATCTGCTGTTTCACTCCCCAAATGGCTACAACAGCTGAGGCTCGGCCAGGCCAAAGCCAGGAGCTTCCTCTGGGTCTCCCATATGGATGCAGGGCCCAAGGACTTGAACCATCTTCCTCTGCTTTCCCAGGCACATTAGCAGGGAGCTGGATTGGGAGTGGAGCAGCTGGCACAAAAACTGGTATCCACTGGGGATACTGGCACTGCAGGCCGTGGCTTAACCTTCTACACCACAGCACCAGCCCTCTGAAACCTCTAAATTCTATGATAAATAATTGACCACTGTGACAATAGAACATAGGTCAGTAAAGCATATTCCATTACAGTAAGTTGTCGGGAGTTCAACAGTTCTCTGAAAATTTAACTGAGTAGATTAAATGTAAATATGTTTTCTATAATGAAACTTGTCAAAATGCAAAGAAATCAGCTATTTACAGTCATGGCATAAGTACCTAGGTAAGCATATTTTAAAGAAGATTTATTTTATAGGTTCTTACTTCCACATGCTGATTTGCTTGTGACAAAACTGATGAGAAAAAAGTATACCTTTAAATATTGTTGTTTATGTTAAAATATGGATTACTAAGGTCAATGTTTAGCGTAGCGCTTAAGATACTGGTTGAGATGCCTGTGTCTCATCAGAGTACCTGGGTTCGTCTCCTAGCTTCACCCACAATTCCAGCTTCCTGCTAAGGTACACCCTGGGAAGCAGCAGGGCATGGCTCGAATGGTTGGGTCCCTGCCATCCATGTGGGAATCCTAGGTTAAGTTCCTGACTCTCAGCTTCAGCTAGCCCAGACTTGGAAGACATTTGGGGAGTGAACCAGCAGTTGGGGGTTGTCTGCCTGGCTGTCTGCCTATCTGTCTGTCTGTCTGTCTCTCTGCCGCTCAAATAATAAAATAAGGGAAGGGCATTATGGCACAGTGGGTTAAGTCACAGCTTGGGGTGCCTGCATCCCATAAAGAAGTGCCTGGGATCAAGTCCCAGCTCTGCTTCTGATCCAGCTTCCTACTAATGTGAACCCTAGGAGGCAGCAGGTAACAGCCAAATGCTTAGGTTCCTGCCGTTCACTTGAGAGACCAGGCCTGGCTTCTGGCTTCATCCTGGTCCAGCCCCAGCTATTAAGGGCATTTAGGGGTGAACCAGCAGATGGAAGGGCTCTCTATCTCTCCCTCTTCCTCTGCCTTTCCTATAAATAAATAAAACTTTTAAAAATATAAAATAAACATGATATATGAATGATTTTGCTTTCATATATGTAAATAAAACTCAGGCACACTGAAGGGAAAGTGTCTTTCATGAAAAGAACCAGTTTAGACAACTATTTCCAAAACTTCAGTCATTTTAGAGGGTCCTTAATGACTTTAGTAATATATCAGTACCACTGTGTAACAGAATTGTTTACTTTTTAAGGTTGAGGCTAATGACATGCTTTAATATACGTTGCAATAAATACTAACTAGTCACCATAATTTGTGCTACCTAAAATTGTCTTCCATATCACTCCACTTTGGGAAGCTGTCTTTTCAAAGTATAAAAAGCAACATTTTATTCTTTCAGATTGCTTACACCCAGTTTAGCTTGTGGTTTCTATCTCTTCCACTAGGTGGCGATCAAAATCATGTATTCATTCAAATACAAGAATTTTTTTTAAAAAGATTTATTTATTTATTTGAAAGGCAGTCACAGAGAGGCAGAGGCAGAGAGCGAGAGGTCTTCCATCTGCTAGTTGACTCCCCAAATGGTCACAATGGCTGGAACTGAGCTGAGCCCAAGCCAGGAGCCAGGGGCTTCCTCCGGGTCTCCCACGTGGGTGCAGGGGCCCAAGGACTTGGGCCATCGTCTGCTGCTCTCCCAGGCCATAGCAGAGAGCTGGATTAGAAGTGAACATCCAGGACTCGAACTGGTGCCCACATGGGATGCCAGCGCCTCAGGCGTCAGCTTTACCTGGTACGCCATAGCACTGGCCCCCAAATACAAGAATTTTAAAGATAGTCTGCTTGACCTGGTTATCATTTTGGTAGAATCGGGCATAACTAAGCTGGAGAAGGGAGCTTGTCTTATGAGAGGATACACAGCATAGCATTTTGGATCATCATGTTTTGTGCTGCACACCTCCCAGAAGCTACCCCATCAGCTTTTCATCTGGGTTGGGGCCGGAGTGAGTTACATGGGTAGAGACAAAAAGGACAGAAAAGTTTACAATCTCCTGGATTGTCTTTGATATATCTGTTGGCAACTGCCAGTCTAAAAGATGGTTGTCCTGCTTTTCCCAGACTTTCTGGTAACCACAGATAGAGCTGGTGGAATTCAGGATTGCTTCACGTTCTGCTGCTGCCCCGAAACTGTGCTCTCAGAGGAACTGATGGTTCCAGCCAGCGTGCAACCGGATTGTGAAAGAATTCATTTGTTTTTGGGATTTCCCCTTTCTTTTCATTCTTCCTCTGCCTCTGTTTTCTCTTCTACTTTTCCCAGGGCCTAGGGCTTTCATAACCTTCTGTGTGCCCACTGCTGCCCAGGACAGGAACTCAGTCAGGCTTAACCCCCAGGGAATGCTTTGTAAACCATTCTTTGCTTCTGCCCTTGTTCATCGGTGTTTATCTGCCCTACTCCTGAGAACTGTGTTACCAGCTCAATGTTAGAACAGAAGAAAACCTGATGTGTCGGAGTTCTAGTTAGTTACCTACCTGTGGGCGTTTACTTTGTAAGATGGAGAATCCTGGAAGTAGAAAATCCTAACCTTGAGGTTCAGAATGATGCTTCTAATAATGTTTCAAGTGTTCTAATAAAGCAGAGAATAGAGGTATTTTAAAAAGAAGCAGCTTTCCTAGTGCTCTTTGGAATACTAGATATGCTATATCGCCTTTTTTTTTTTTTTAGTTATTCTTTTTAAAGATTTATTTTGTTTATGTAAAAGGCAGAATAACGGAGAAAGAGGGAGAGAGAAAGAGGGGGGTGGGGGGAGCTTCCATCTGCTGTTTACTCCCCAAGTGGCTGCATCAACCATTTCTGGGCCAGGCTGAAGCCAGGAGCCTCAAGCCAGAAACTCCATCCAGGTCTCCAACGTGGGTGACAGGAGTCCAAGTGGTTCATCATCCACCCCCATCCCAGGCACATTAGCAGGAAGCTCAGTCGGAAGCGGAGCAGCTAGGACTCACACCAGGGCCCCAGTGTAGGCTGCCGGCATAGCCTGCTGTGCCACAACACTGGAGCACGTTGTTTCTCAGAACATCTGCTGGTCTGCACACTGGTGTGTTGGCTATTTTACTGTCACTGTAGAGTAGCCTGAATGGACTCTTTGGTAATTATGGTCTCAGGAGAAAGGGGGGAAAGGAGGTTTACGAAGGCAGAGTGAGGAGTTCATGTATTAATGGATAAGGGTAGATCCTGGCTGAGTGACAGTGATAGGGAGTCACTATTTAAGCTTGAGGGTCTCATATTTGTATTAACCTGCACAAATGGTAGAAAAGTGGATATATATATATATATATATAATTTATTTTTATTTATTTCAAAGGCAGGGTTACAGAGAGACCTTCCATCCACAGGTTCACTCTCCAGATGGCTGCAATGGCCAGGGCTGCGCCAGGCTGAAGCCAGGAGCCCAGAACTTCTTCTGGGTCTTCCACATGGGTGCAGGAAGCCCGAACACTTGGGCCATCTTCCACTGCTTTCACAGGCTCATTTAGCAGGGAACTGGATCGGAGTGGAGCATCCTGGTCTTGAAGCAGCACCCATATGGGATGCTGGCGTCATAGGCAGTGGCTTATCTCGCTATGCCACAACACTGGCACCGTAAGTTTTATCTTGAGGAAGTTGCCATATGTGTTGAATAGAGGAACAAGGAGCTTTACTGTTTGTCAGTGGCATGGTGCTGCTGGCCAGCTTGCCGATTGTGTTACTATTTCTATACCCTTGTTCTCCTCCCTTCTCTTTACTCCCTTCCCTTCTCCCACCCAAACCCTCTTGTCTCCCACTTCATTATTTCTCCCTAGAGAAACTGTGTTGCGGCTAGATGCTTAAAGAGAACCATCCAGGCTTTGGAGTTAGAGGTGAGGTAAATCCAAATATGGACTTGGTTAGGCTGGGGTCTTATTGCCAGTCCCATCCCTTTATTTTCTCAATTTCTTTGTTCTTATGTGTTTTTCCCTCTGCCTCTCTTTGTAGGCATCTTTGTTTGCCCAACTTCTCCTGAAGAGAGAGGCAGCCTGGTTGTACTTTACTGGTGCTCATTAGGCCCAAGTCAAAAGTGCATTTTGTTAAGTGAAAGAGTATAAAGATTTAGGTTAGGGGTCGGTGCTGTGGCTCAGCGGGCTAACACCCTGGCCTGAAGTGCTGGCATCCCATATGGGCGCTGGTTCTAGTCCCCTGGCTGCTCCTCTTCCGATCCAGCTCTCTGCTATGGCAAAGCAGTAGAATTTGGCCCAAGTCCTTGGGCCCCTACACCCACATGGGAGACCCGGAAGAAGCTCCTGGCTCCTGGCTTCGGATCGGCACAGCTCCGGCCATTGCAGCCAATTGGGGAGTGAACCATCGGATGGAAGATCTCTCTCTCTGCCTCTTCTCTCTCTGTGTAACTCTGACTTTCAAATAAAATAAATAAATAAATCTTTAAAAAAAAGATTTAGGTTAGTATCTTCCTCCATCTATTTAATATTATAACATATTGAGATATATATTTAGTCACAAGGGTTTTAGTACAATAGTATGATAGTACTGCAAAAGCAGTGAAATTGATCACAAGTGTATAATGAGATTTGACACTTAATAAACTTAAAACCAAATATTATTAAATTAATGGTAGTACCTAAAATGCAAAGTTCTTGTTAATGCCCAATGACTGACGGTAGCTCAATGATGAGGAATTGATGTTAAAAACCACAATAAAATTATGCATTTTGACTTCCCTTATTTTAGTGTTATTCTGAGAATGTATTCTAAGTCTGTTACTTAACATTTCTTTTTAAAAATTATTTGAGAGAGAACTCAATAGAGTTTACTCCCATCTGCTGGTTTACTCCTTAAATGCCCATATCAGCCAGGGCCAGGCCAGGACAAAGGCAGGATCCTGGGGCTGAATCCGAGTCACCTGTGTGAGTAACGAAAACCCAAGTACTTGAGCCATCACCTGATGCCTTCCAGGGTGCACATTAGCAGGAAGCTGAAATCAGAAGTGGAGCTGAGGCTTGAACCCAAGGACTCTGATGCGGGAAGTGGCCTCCCAAGTAGCTTGTTCACCCCATGCCAAACACCTGCCCCGACCACAAGTTTTTATTCATATCTGCTTTCTATTTACTTGTAGTTCATATGCAGAATATCTTCTAATCTCACTTCTTTTAAATCCTTGCTTTGGTATTCTTCATTCTACCTTTAAACATAGCTATGTCCAGGCATCTATGTATAAAAATTTATTTCCAACTTATATTAGAGAGAATTATTTGTATTTTTAAAAAGT